CCTCTGTCTTCTGTAACGTCCATGTTTTGTCTCCGCGCTGCCCTGTGGTCACTAACTCTCCACGTCACGAACTCTCTCTTCCATGATGTCCAGTCTGCTCTTAAAATCGTGTATTGCATTTTAAATGTCTGTGTCCGTGGGTTTCGTTTCGGGAAACTCTATGTGTTTCTTTCAGTTCAGCTTGGTCCCTCCAGAGCTTGTTCCCTCTGCACGCATTTTCAAGCCTGTCTCTCTAGCGCAGTCGGTCTGCAGTTCACGTCCAGCACTTGTTACTGACAGGCGGCGCGGCCTGGCACCTCCGCCGGTTTGCCTTGCTCTCGTCTGTCTCTAAGTCTGTCTGCTCCAGGCCCCTGAGGAACGATTCCTGCAGTTCCCCGAGGCCTGGGAAGAAGGAGCCTCCCCCAGGCCAGATCCGCCTTTGTTTCTGAGTGGGACCCGGGAGGAACGCGTGACTGTCAGGACCAGTTCCGATTACATCACAGACCGGGATTTCTTGGGTCTTCGTGGAGAGCACCCATCTCTCCAGCACCCAGACCCACTCCCCACCCGCTCAGGGCGGGCCTCCCGCCTTGTTCCCCATCACCCAGGGTGAGCCCTGTGATTCCCCTGGTCTGTGCCCTCCCCCTAAGCCCGCGGCGTCACTGGGCTGGGTGACACCAGGCGGACGTGGCTTCCTGTGTGTGGTGTCCCTCTGGCCTTTTGCAGTCTGTGGCCCGATGATCTGGATTCTTTGGTCAACTCCCACAAGTTTTTAGTGTTTTTTTGTACATGCGATTTGTTCTCCAGCACTGTTAGCCGGCACTGTTTTCGGCAGTAGGGTTGGTCCAAACGGCCTGGCCCGCCATATCATGGGGAGCAAAACCCCAACCGTGCTTCGTCACTGCGGTGTGGCTTCCCCCTCCCTCGCCAACACGGATTTGAATCCGCCACCAGGCCAGCCAGCCCGTGTTCACCGTCCCTTCCGGGGCCCACGTCTGCCTCCCGAGCCCCCACTGCCCGCTCCGTGAGGCTCTGTGGTGGCTTAAAAATCTTTGATTAGGACCAAAGACGTTGACTTCTCCCGTCTTCATGCTGGACTTCGGGGTCACTTTCGCTCCCCGATTTTGAGCCACACGTAATTTCCCGTGTCCCCACCTCCTCGTCCTCTCCCCCGTTTTCCTGGCTTAATTCGGGACAAGAGGCTGCTGCTCCTTTGGCGTTCGGTTTCACGACAGGCGCCGTCTGCTCGGCGTCTGCGGCTCCCCCGAGCTCTTCGTTCCCATTTCTCTACCTCTTTTTTTTAATGATGGTTTTGATCCTTTTCTTGGTTGGCTGGAATAGGTCTTCATTTTTTTCCAGAAAAGATCAAAAGAGGCAGACGTCTGGTTTCCTGCAGAGGGCGCGGTTGTCACCTAGGACCGACCGCGTGGGAGGGTGAGAACTCCAAAGCCGGGTCACCTCCTGTGGGAACACTGTGCGCGGAGCCCACGCAAGGGGACCAGCCCTCCCAACCGCCGCACATTAGTGGCAGCCCGCAGGGCCTCGCCGTGAAGCCTGTGGCCAGCCAGCTTCCAGCTCCCTCCCCCAGGTGGCCTCCCCTCCAATTCCGGCCGCTGCCCTCGCTGTCCCTCCAGAAGGCTTCGAGTAGTCCACGAGATCCCTCACGTTCCCTGTTACCTGCGTGAGCTCCGAGACAATGGGGCGGGGGTAGGGCGGGCCGCACCCGGGCGCAGGGCGGGTCATGTGCGGGTGGACTCGTGGGTGGTCCCCAGCCTTTGGCATCTAAAAATAAAGCTGTGGACGGACATTCGGCGGGCAAGTCTCTGTCATCACTCTTGGCCGAGATCAAGGCGTGGAATGGCTGTATCATATAGTACATGGGCGTGTTTGACTTCTCAAGAAGTTGCCAAATGAGGTGCAGCCACCTCATGACACGATTTGGCAACTTCTTGAGAAGTCAAACACACACACACGTACTATACGATACAGCCATTCCACGCCTTGATCTCGGCCGACATCGAGCATTCCCGCCAGCAGAGCGTGGGGGTGCTGCTCCCCGCTCCCCCACCAGCCCTTGGTCGAGTCCCCTTCCCCACGGGCCACTGGGGCGCACTGGGGTTTGAGGCGGCGGTTCCCTGTTTCCTGTTAGACATCGTGTCTAATGATGTCGAACCCCTCTCCCTGTGCGTGTTTGCCATTTATTCCCTCTGCGGTGCGGTATCTGTTCAAATCTTTTGCCCATTTTTTGTTGAGTCCTTGGTTTCCTTATTAGTGAATCTGGAAAGTCATTTACCGATTCTGAATATAAGCTCCTTATCGGAGTCCGATTGACAAATATTTTACCCCAGTCTGCGACTTGTCCATTCATTCTCTTAACAGAGTCTTTCAAAGAGCAAAATTTTTAAATTTTAATGAAGTCCAGCTTATCAAATTTTTTTTACGGGTCATGATTTCGGTGTCATAGCTAAGAAATTTTTGCCTTAACCTAAAGCCACAAAGATTTTTTTTTCCCACGTTTTCTTTTAAAAGTTTTTAGGTTTTACATTTAGTCTACAGTCTGTTTTGCTTGAACTTTGTATCATATAGTGCAAGGCATGGATTAAAGTTCTTCTTTTCTTTTTATTTGCATATGGACATCCAGTTGATCCAGCACGATTCGATTTGTCGAAAAGACTACCCTTTTCCCACTGAGCCGCCTGGCGTCTTCGCTGAAAATCCATTGTCTAGAGGTGGCGGGTCTGTTTTGGGACCCTGTTCTGTTTCGTCCACTCACTTATCCTGACACCAGATCAGTCCTGAGATTAGGCAGCATCTGTCTTCCGATTTGCCCGTCTCATCAAAGATGATTTGCCCATTCTAGATGCTTTCCATTTCCACGTGAACTCTAGAGTCAGCGTGTCGACTTCTGTGAGGAAAGGCCTTCCACAAAAAGGAATTTGATCATGATTTTATTGAATCTGTACATCGATTTTGGAGGAAATTCACATCTTAACAAAATTGAGTCATCCTATCCATGAAACCGTATTCCTCTCTGTTTATCTGGGTTTTCTCTCATTTTCTTGCAGCAGTATTTTGTAGTTTTCAGGGCATCGATTTTGTATACATTTTGTCAGATTTGTCCCTGAGCACCCCATGTTTTTGCGTTATTGTCAATGGTCTTTTAAATGTCAATTTGCAGTTGTTCTTTGCTGATATATAGAAACGTGGTCGATTTTTGTATATTGATCTCCTATCTTGCAGTTTGCTAAAATCACTCATTAGTCTGGTATCTTTTTTTGTAGATGCCATCAGATTTTTTACAGAGACAGCTGTGTCATCTGTGAGTGAAGAGACAGCTTTACTTCTTCCTTTCCGAGCTGGAAAGGAAGTTTATTTTTTTGCCTAATTACATCGACTGGGATCTCCAGTACGAGGCCGACTAGGAGTGGTCAGAGCTGCAGTCCCGGGCTTGTTCCTGATCTTAGGGGGAAACAGTTCATTCTCACGCTATTAAATACGATGGTAACCGTAGGCTTCCCGGAGACGGCCTTCGTGAGGTTGAGGCAGCTGAGAGTTTTCGTTAAGACCAGATATCCGGTTTGGTCGGCTTTGCCGTGACTATTGAGATTGTCGCACACGTTTTTAAAAATGTGTTGGCGTAGTTATAGCGATGGATTTTGAACATTAAACCAACCTTGTATTCCTAGGACAAGCCGCGCTTGGTAGTTCTGCATTATTCACTTTATACCGTGGGGTTCGGTTTGCTGAAGTTTCGTTTAGAGTTTTTACTCCGTGGCCATGGGGCACATTGCTCTGTAGTTTCACCTTTTCGTATTGTTTCTGTCGAGTTTTGGTGTCGGGGAAGGAGTTCGGGACTGTTCCCTCCCTGTCGGTGTTCTGGAAGGGTCTGCGTGGAGCCGGTGTTCCTCCCTACGCGTGCTTTCGCCGACCGCTTCGTCGCTTGGTCTCCTACTTCACTGGTTGCCGCCCTGACTGCTGCGCCTACCTCTCCCCGGATTACTCGGGGCTTCTCACTCCGTCCCCAGTTTGAGATAGAATTGACTTACGACGTCGTGCTAGTTTAAAGTGGGCAC